CTGCTGATATATTGGTAACAACTGACAGAAAAAGCTGTGATTTTTTACAAGTTTTGTCTTTTCAAGCAAATTGTAGCTGCTCTACAGCTGTAGCTGTTCCCAATTTCAACCTAGATTAGAGAGTCAGAATTGAAGACATGACCACCTGAAAATGGGCGTTTCCCTCTAATGATAGTGGCTCTTAAAAGCACCTTTTAGAGATGAAATTAATGTTACCAGCTGCACTAACAGCACAGAACTCTAAAAAAAAATACATTAAAAAGTAGTAATATTTATCTGAAGGTGAGACACTGGCACTGTTAGGAAAAAGTCTGACCAAGTTAAAAATTTCTAGATTAAAACTCAAGTGCATTCTCATATTTTGGTCCAAGTGTACCCTACCAGGGTATTAATATTTTTAGCAAATTAAAACATGAAGCCCAGCCTGGACTCTAACCTCCTTTACTAGACTTCTAGCTGATTAGATAGAAGGGTATTACTAAGATTTTGTCTCTTTCCTTGAGTTCCTTTTTGCAACTGGCCACTCTGTCTTCCTCCATCTGTGCAGTCAGAACTCACCACTATGCACATAAAACTGCAGAGTCTTGGAAACCATCACACGAGACAGCACATCATGAACCCTTGTATTGGTCCTCTTCTTATGGGCAAGGATAGTAATGTCAAGGATAATGACTTCAGGTGTCTGTGCTCACACCATCTTTGTGACACTGCAGTGAGAGAGGCATGGAGCAGAGAGCTTTTTGGATAAAGAACCTAGATTTTATGCTGAGTTTGGAAAGGAAAAACACGGGAAGAAATAATCAGGAACAAACAAAAAACCCAATCCCAAAGCATGTTTGTTTCCAAGGGTTGTTTTCTTTCTTTTTTTAAACAGATGTACATAAATACTTAAGTGAGGTAGAAGACTTCATTTCAGAAAACCATATTCAATTTTATTTAAAGAGAAACTTGATCTGAAGTATTAAACATGCAAGTGACAACACATATTGGATCACTTGCTTAGTCACAATCATGACACTTGAAAGAGACTAAATTCATAAAAAGCATTTTCAGAATGGGCTTGAAGAAGATACAACATCAGAAAGTAAGGATCTTTGGAAGATCTGAAATTGTAGAGGAGGCTGTATTTAGGAAGCAGCTTGGAAATAATGAGAGGTGGATAGGGAAGTAGGAAACAAAGGAAGAAACCACCACATAAGCCATTAAATCTAAATTGGAAGAGAGAATTTTACTTGACTGAGACAACAAAGAGAAGAGAGAATTAATAGTTTAATGAGGTAGAGCAAAAAAAGTAGGCAAACTGTATAGCTCTTAACCAGTTTTTTTTGACTGAGGTGTGATTTTGGAAGAACAGGTCAGTGATGATACAAAAATCAAGGCACAAATGCAAGTCTAAGCACCAGCATTCTTTGTAAAATGTAAAAAGAGAAACTTGTGGATGTGAAGGAATAAACACCTGCAAGGTTTCAGAGAAGTAATTCTGGTGAAAGGAAACACTCAAGACTTCTAGTAGCAACTGAGAACTTGGTGAAGTGTCAGCTGACAAGGAAAGAGGGTGCTACAGCTACAAGAACGTTCATAGTAGTTGTATCTTATTTCATGCACAAGGCAGTATAAACTAGGTAAAGAGAATAAAGAATATGAGGTAAAGAAAAGCAACAATTCAATTAGATGTCATAGTACATAGGCCTGAGTGGAGCTTTGACACCCTTTGGTCAAGTATGATTGAAAGAGGAGAGGTGTCAAAACCGTAGCCTTTGGCATGAATGGAAAAGGCAGAGAGAGTTATTCCAAGAAACTGAAATAACAAACCTGTCAGAAAGCAGAGGGGGAAAAAAATCCCACAGCCAAAAGCTTAATGAAAAATAATACTCACAATAAAAGCTGCTGAGAAGTAAGGAGCAGAAAAGCCCCTTTGCTTCAGCTTCACATGTTCCTAGTAACATGAGTGTTCTGGTCAGTTGGCAACCACATGGAAAGCCAACCAGGAAAGGTTCAGAAAGCCAGCAGAACATCCTGAGGAGGCAACTACTGACAGGAGAAGGGGGGAAAAAAAAAAAGAAAAAAGAAAGAAAAAACTGCAGACCACATGAACACAAACAAGTATGACACAAAAGGAGAGGAAACAAGAATCTCCAAGAGAAGAATCTTTTCAGCACCCAGTCTCAGTTCACAGCAGGAAGGGATTACAGAAATGCATCACAAGAAACTGTAGATACTCCTTCCTTTTTTTTTTTCTTTTTTCTTTTTTTTTTCCACCCTTGATGGAACAGATTTCTGTCAACAGTACTTTATATTCTGAGGCACTTCTGTCCCAGGCTGAACTCAGGTTTGCAGCTCCATGGCTGAAACTGATCAGCCACGCAAGCCCCATATCACCTGTAATGTTGAAATCAAAGTTTCAGGCTCCCCCAGAGGCACAGATGTTTTGTGTGACCAGGAACTCCTGCTAAATCCTTTCTGTAATTCACCCGAGTACCAGAAGCAGCCCTCCTGCATTTGCAGCAACTGAAATATATGTCATTGAGAGCACAGTCACTCTGCTTGAGGACTTGTGACCTCTATATGCAATATAAGACCTCCTGTCAAGTACTAAAAAGTTGTTCTACCCACTGTCAGATCTAGCCCTTGTCCTGGAATTTCTCAACTTCAACTTGAACTCGTGGAGCTGCTGCAAAGCATAAGGTATTTGTGATGAATACCAGAAGAGCAGTGTGAAATCTAGTGTCCTTTGACAACCAGTGGAACAGACTAGATAATTTAACAGCTTCATTTAGCCTCAAACTTCTGCATGTAGCTCTTGGAAAGCAGTTTATACCTGCAGAAGCCTGGCCTGATCTACAGTAGCTTAAGAACCTTGCTAAAATAAAAACACTAATAAGCTGAGTTTGACCTCTGTACTTCAGAACATTTTAGGCACACCTCCAAAGCTCAGTTCAACTGGAATTAGATGACGCATCATTCATGTGGAGAAGAAAGAACCACGAAGAATTCTGGTCCATGAGAACCACTGGAGACACTGTGCCTCTAGTTTCAGCTGAGGGAATTCAGACCGTGCTTAGATTACAGTACAACTGTGCTCAGTACAAACACTTCAATCTGAAAAGAAAAACGACCTCTTTGCAAACTTCACTATCACACTAAGTAGCAAATGGGTGAAATATAAAAGGACAGTTTTCCATCTGCATCCACAACATTCACAGATAAATTCCAAATATGGAGGTTCCTGGATCAGCCACATTAGCTGCTTGCTGGTTACAGAGGGCTAAAGCACAGCATTACAAATATAGGCATAAATTTTGATACTGAAACCAAGTTAAAGTCCTGCCATGAATTCACAGGAAAAGTTCAATTAAGAGGTTTGCTATTAGAGAGCTAACTGTGAAGAAGATGCTAATAGCCATCAATAGCCTGTCAACTCCAGCTTTTTATAGAAGATTTCAAGATGACTGTCAGAATTCTCCCTGGAAAAGAAGCCATTCATTTAACAACAGATAAACTGTTGGTTTCATTAGCAATCTTCTCTTGAGATTATTCATGCAAAATAGCATTTCTGATTAATTTCTGGTGGAAATCTAATCTTAAACTCCTTAAATGTGTGTCACAATCAGCTCCTACAGCTGACTACACAAAAATTCTCTTCCAGCCCTCTCCATTTAACTTCTTTCTAAGGAGCAGTGGGACCTGTTCCTACCTTTCTCATCTCACAAAACAGCTGCATTGCTGACCTTGTCCCAAGACCCCCAACAGAGATCTTAAGAGGCTGTCTCAGCATCAAGCTTAGGATGCTCCAGTTAGGATTAATTTCCCCTACCTTGTTAAGACAAGGGAAAAACAGTCACAGTACCATGACACTTAATGAGAACGCTAAATAGCAATGGGAGCTGCAGCAACAATTCATGCTATCAAACCAATGCACTGACAAAGGCTCAGCCAAGTCAATGTGCCAAATGGACAAGCAAGACATTTTCTCCTCGAATAAAAATCTGGTTTATATGACGCCTGAACACCTGTTGATAATCCACTTTGGGCCGCCTTTTTCTCCGTGACTGGCTTCTTGCACGGGTACCACCAGCACTGGCACCTTCTGTGTGGGCAGTCCTGCTACCCACATCAGCTTCACCTCTGGCAGCCAGATGGGAACTGTCACCCAGTGTCTTCTTTTCTCCAGCTCTGCCCAAGCGTTTCTGCCTCTCACGCTCCTCTTCTGCTCTCCCTCGTCCTGATCCAGCTTTCAATCCCAGAGTCTGAGAGTCATGGGTCAGAGCTAGCTCCTTGGAGACAGCCTTTGAGTCCACTCCCTTCTTTCCTGAGGACTCCTGCAGTTTGAGTCTGTCAAACAGCTGTAAAAGAACATTTGTGTATACAACCATATCCAGAAAACAACAGAGGCAGCTTGTTCAGCATTTCTACATGGTATTTGCATACACAGTCCCAAATAAGAGCTCACAACACACAGAGAGCTACTAGGTTGCTCCATTAGCTCACTTTCCCCAATGCTCTTGTAATATTGTCAGACAGTATTACCAAGATTTTCATCTGTGTATCCTCAGGGAAGACATGAATCCCTAAGATAAGGGGAGTCATCAATCAGAAGAGTGTACACTGAACGGACACTTTGTGTTCCCAAAAACAAACCAGAAGATGCCATGTGGGTGTTCTGGGAGGTGAGCAGACCAGAACAATAGAAAAAGTTATAAAAGCTAGAGCAGCGGATCCAAAGCACCGTATGAACCCATTAATATAAGAACACATGGTGCTGAAACAAGAAACTGCTTTTACTCTGGCATCAAGCAAGATTTTATGAAATACTGATGAATGAAAAGGATTCTCAGCCTGTCTCTTCCCAGCAAAAGGATGGAAAGCCAATCCTTGTGAGAGAGGCCCAAAGAACAATGACAACTTGATTATTTTTAACTGATCATTAAAAAAAAAAAGGGTGGGATCTATCAGAAAACAGCTGGAATTTGAAAGCAAATTCCTGAGAATGAAGCTGTTTTAAAAGCTTTTTGTGATGCTTCTCTGATGCTCAAAAGGCCCAGAGCTATGCCATTTAACAGGCACAGCCCTGTCACAGTTCTTTCGCCTTCATTGTTCAGAAGTCCATCTATCATCTCTTCAGTTCTAAACTTTACTGTAAACATATTTTTTTGCAGCTGCATCCTAGAGGGTATGTTGCTTTGGAGTAACATAGAGAGTCTTGGACTTCATGGTACCTAGACTAGAAGTTCAAGTGACCAGATGTTTTGTTGGCTGGAGACACAGAGTGCCATTCCATGAACTTTACTATCAGTTTTATGCACTGCCGAATCAGCTGGCAGGACAGATGGGAACCAGGCCAGTCAAGGGAGCAAAAAATGCACAGAAAAAATAAGAAAAACAAACAAAAACCACAGAGTGAGCTTATAGAAGGTCAACATATTAAATGAAGCAGTGACAGCAACTGTGATTTCATATTAGGGACCCTGAAGTGAAACTTCTGTAACACTGAACTATGGCCAAAGTACTTTGAAAATATCAGAAAACTGGGTTTCCACCCCCCCAGTCCAAGTCATTTTAGAGTAATCTGTAATAAAAGGAGGTAAAATATTTCAAATGTAAACATAGTTTTCCAATCAATGCTCCTCATTTAGTACTTTGAAAAAGGACATACTAAAAAAACAAAGTGGAGATGGTTACCTACCCGGGTTAGTGTGAGCTGAGGTTCTGCATAGAAAGCTTTGCCCATTACTGGTTTCCTGTATGTCTCATCCACGTCTGTCAGAGCCTAGAAGAAGGTAAAAGAAACAGAAAGGTCAAAATTAAAAGAAAACATGAAGAAGCTTTGGACCAGCTTTGTGTCATGCCATTATAAAATTGTGCTCTGAGAGAAAATCCATCTTAGGAACAGGCTGTACTTTGGAGCTGGCTTCTTAATCATCTAAGTTGTACTGAGGTATAAAAGCAACAGCAAAGCCCAGCATTAACTCTCCCTTAGTTGCAAAATTTTTGTAAGCCTTGCTTGGAAATTCGTTCCCCCTTCCTCACCTATTTCCAAACTTTTAACAGCTGCAGGCTCACAAATATTTAACACCTGCTTTCCCATACATTGTCTTTAAGATCTTCATGAGAGCACAGGGAAAAGCTTTTGCTAGTGACTGATAGTGAAAGTAAACAGAGAAGCTGATGTCACCATAACACAGTGTCTTGCAGAGAAAGCTTTGGAAATTTCTGATATTCCTCACAATCCACCCTCCTAGGTTCTTACACAAAGCCTTTGAAGATGCTGGGAATGCTTAAAAATTACTCTCTCACCTAAAACCTCTAGGATGGCTCAGCACCTCTCAGATGTATTGATCCAACATGAAGTACCACTCAGGTCTGAAACCCAGCACTCAGTGCCAGAGCAAATTAGCTTTATGAACCACAAAACCACATTAATCTTCTCAAAATGCAGTCTGCTTGAACCTGCTGCACATTTCAAGTTTTCAATATAGCAGTTATAAATCAAGGGCTGATTTTAATTACCATATTCCAGAACTTGTCAAATGCAACCAAAAACCCTGTGCAGACTCCACGAAGCCCTTTGAAAGTGCGGATGTGGACGTTGATTTTTACACCGTCTCGGACACAGCGATGAAGCTCCCCCAGTGGGCTGCCTTCATGGACTACAAGAGAGAGAACACCACTGGTCTTCAACAAAAAACATATATATACTCTCACATGTATATATATTAAAAAAAAAAAAAAAAAAAAGTAGAAATCTACACTTGTCTAAGCACAGCAGATCTTGGTACGACCTTTTTATTCACGGCAAATGAAATGAGAAGTCCCAGAGCACTGTAACACACTAAGTTTGTAACTGCCAGACCACCAAAACTCTCCTAATAGTGAGGACCACAAAGATTTTAGAAAATATGAAGGTTTTTCTTGGCATAACCTACAGCTGAATCAGCCATAGCTGAATATCTTTTTGCTACATTTCAGAACATGCTAAGTAATGCTAATCTCAAATAAGAGGGAACAGAGAGCTCGCAGAGGCAGAGACTCCCAGAAAGGCGAAATGCTTAATTAAGGCTGCCTCAGACTAGTTACAATCTGTTAATAAAGTATCAGATGATTTCCTTTCTTTACAGGATTTCTGAAGCAAGAGATGACCTGGATGTAACTAAACCGGACCAGTTTCAATTGAATAAAATGTACTGTTTCAGTTAAAAGCTTCAGCAGGCAGCTGAACATCCTTTAAAGATGAACCAGTCTTTGGCAAAGAAATAAAACTGCTGTAAGAAGCAGCAGCCACCAGTGAAAACATGCTAAAAAGCAGAAAAACAATGCTTTTAGTTGGGGCAAAACTGAAGGAATTCAGTAAAATATGCAACCTACCCAGCAAACACAAGCCTTATCTGCACACTAGAAATCTTTGCAGGTGTAAATTACCTGGAAGGGTAGATATTATTTACTTTAACACTGCCCCATGGTGATGCCATTCCAGTCATAAATTACAGGTACCTGTTCACTTGTGCAAACACAGCCAGAGGATTGCTGTGCAATTCCTACTGAGAGTCAGGGAAAAGCACTGGTCTAAAATCTCACACAGTTCTTCATATTAATAAAAACTAGCTGAGTCAGAGATGACCTCTCCCCTTGTCTTTAGGGACTATGTATTCAAGGTTTGATTTATGCACTAGAAAATACTTCCTGTGATTGTAAAAGGTTAGGGTTTAATAGCTGACCTGCAGAATCTGGCTGCATGGTAACTCTCAGGAACAGCAGGGAAATCTAAAGCAGTTTCCTCTGAATTAACCTAAGCACACAGATTCTTTGAGCCTCCAACTTCATCTTATCAAAATGGCAGAATACACCATTCAAAAGCCTTTAATAGTCTGATATTCACTTCTTGAAAAAAATAAAACCAGCAACACAAGGAATTTATTGTTGCAACAGACCTCTTCTGCAAGCATCAAAGCCTATAATGACCAAGTTCTGCATGCAGCCAGATTTTCCTATGGATTTTGATGCTTTTAAGTATCAGTATGAATAGTTACCTAGTTGGTTTTGTACTCAAAACCGAATTCCTATTTGTGTAAAATAAGCTTATACTTAACACCAGGATTCTGAAGAACTAGAAAACTACTGTAAGCCAAAGGGCAGGTACTCCAAGAAACTCTGCTTAAACTGAAGTCTTTGTCCTCAGGGTAGACTTACACTAAGAGACCAGATTAAAAAATTAAATAAATAATTTTAAAAAAAAAGAGCTCAGAACACTATCAAACACCCTTCTAACTGCTCTGTAGTAACCGCCTGCACACGAGTTCTCTGCCCTCTGGTAAATGCAAAATAATTAGAAATAGCTTCTCATGAACTGATCCAAAACAGACACTGTTAAAGCAGCTTCATTTTTACTTCTAATCACTCCTTGTGACAAGCAAAATTTTGGCTCCACTTCTGATACACAGAATGTAAGGAATATATCATACCTTGTCACAGCTATCTGGGGGCACAGCATCACAACTGTGGGATGCAGCAAACTACACATCACACTTATTTCAGAGGCTGCTGCTCCCTGTAGAATCCAAGCTTCCAACGCTGGCCCACCTGCTGTGCAGACAGGTCCCCTACTTCCAGGGAATGCATAAAATTGTGGCTATAAATTATTCTTAAAACTCTCCAGACTGCTGAATAGTACTTTGCATCTCACTTGTACCGGTCTTCTCCAAAATCCATGCAGTCTAGACTTAGACACTAAATACGTCCTCTTAACTGAAACACAACTTGCTAGACCATCACTGAAGTAAATTTTACAGACGTTTTGTGTTGGTTTTTTTCAATTTCCACCACAGTAATCCAAATACAGGTTCTTAATATTAAGATCCTAATTTGATATTTAAGGTCAATTCTTTCAGAAATCCTGCACCAACAGAAGCTCTGCATTTGTGCAGAACACTCAGCTGACGGGATATTTAGGATCATGCAGCACCTACAGCAATGAATACATTACGTTTTGGGGTGT